GACACAGCGTTCTTCCCCCGGGGCCGGAGGAGGGCTCACCACGTGGCCCCGGTGGCGGCTTTTCTCTTCCGCAAAAACCAAAACCAGACCCCTTTGCCCTCCTCGCAGGGAAAAATATCGGTTCATTGGAATTTCCGGACTCCGTTCAATTGAAGCGGAACTTTTCCCGTGGGGTAGTCGGGCTTTTTGGTTGGGTTGGCTTTTTCCTGTTTTGAGGGAAGTTTGGGGGGGGGGGGGGGGGGGGGGGGGTCAGTTCTGCTGCTGTAGGGACTTATCAAGGGTGGCGTCATGCAGATAGACGGCGAACAAAGACCTCCTTCTTTCGAGGTTCGGCAGGGCGTAGCACCGCACGAACGCTCGCAGAGCAAACACTCAATGACACACTCCACGCCACATTTCAAGATTAATCTGCCCTATCCATCGCCTTCCGCCCCATTACACCTCATCGTTCGCGATTAGCTGACACCAAACGCCCCTACAGAGTGACCTTGATGGCAGCGTGAAACTCAAACCAATGACGGAAACCCCGGCAGCAGCGTCAACCTCACGTTAATGGCGTGGTTCAACAGACACCCGTAGCTGCACATAACTAGGGACACCAACTGACTCCCAATGACGTCAAACTCGCCTCAATAACGGCGTTAAATTTCCCCCGGATTTCAGCGTTAAAACCACCCCAATATCGGCGATGAAAATCCCGATATTGGCTTTAGAACACTTCAATGGCGGTGGAAAAAGACACCGAGAGCGGCATTATCCTCACCTCAATGGCGGCGTTAAACGCCCTTTCGTCGGTGGCCACGCCCGCCTCCTTCATTTCCTCCAGCAGGCCTGTCGCGCGCTCCCAGTCTCCTCCCTTTCCAAGTGCTCGAATAGCCAGGTTGTAGTTTATCGCGTTCGGTGGAACTCCATCCCCTCGCATTTCCTGCATAGCATCGTGCCATGTCGTCAAGGCAAGAAGTTCTGATTGAGGCGGGGTGTGTTTGTTAGAGCGAATACTAGAGACAGCCTACCGTTTGGCGGGAGCTTGGAATTGCTAGTATTCTCCCACAACACAAGGGCCTGGCGCAAAGTACTTGGATCGTTTGGTATAATGCATTGTAAGCGTATCCTGCTTGGTCTCTCTCTCTCTCTCTCTCTCTCTCTCTCTCTCTCTCTTTCTCTCTCTCTCTGCTGATCTCCAAGATTGCACCCTTTTCTCGATCTGTTCTATTCCTTCTCTCTACCTATCTCCAACCTTAACCCCGACCCTCAGCCGACCAAGCCCACCTCAAGCATTCCGGCGACCTTCTGCCACTGGTCTCCCTCAATACAAGCCGTCATGGCGGCGCTCCACGTGAACACGTCCGCACGGGGCCCCCCACCCCCCCACCCACCCCCGCCCGACAACCTCCCCCCGCCATTCTTAAGCCCGTCAATACTGTCGTTGGCTTCGACACCATCAGTAGGCAACGTCGCCGCCGAATGCACCCGTCGAGAGTCATACGAGGAGGGGGGGTCGGAAGATGGCAGGAAGCCGGGGGGGGTACCGGGCGATGGCCTCGCGCGCGGCCGAGGGGGGCGCATCGTATCGAGTAACGCTAGCGCCTTCTCGGTCTCGCCGGATCTATACAGAACGCCAGGAAAACGGAGGGACGGGGGGGGAAGGGCAAAGTAATCAGTCGGGTAAAGCCGGTTGTTGCCTGCTAGAGCCTCGCCAGTGTAGATCGCAAGAGAGGATTTCAGCTGGGCTCGAGAAACACCACACGTCGACGAGATCGGACAACTACATGAACAAGCCAACGAGACACACAGGGGGTGCACGATCTAACCGCCTACTGTCCAGCGGCGAGAGAACCTCTGCGGGGCTAGAAAAAACACCCCGCCTCCTACTGAACGAGCAAGCGAGACAAGCAGGGGCGCACGAGCCATCCGGGTCAGGAACAGGCCCGTCGTCGAGATCGACGCCGAAGGTCTCGTTCGCACTTCAGCAGACGCTCCCACCACCAACCCCCCCGCGACTCTTGGTCTCTCTCCCTCTTTCTCGCGTTCTCTGTCTGTCTGTCTGTCTGTCTCTCTCTCTCCCTGCTTCTCTCTCTCTCTCTCTCTCTCTTTGCCCCACCCGCCCTCTCTCATATCTATCCGTCTGTCTGTCTGTCTGTCTGCCTCTGTCGTTCTCTCCACCCCAAACCCACACCCCCTTCCTGCACCGGTACTACACCCCTCCCGTTTCCCGTCGACACCGCGCGGAGCCCTTGCACCTGCCGAGGGCGTCCATGACGGCATTGAGCGTGAACGTGTCCGGCCGCAGACCCCGATCTCGCACCTCCGCGAGCAGCCCCAGAGCGTTGTTCCACCGCCCCGCTCGCCCGCACGCCTCCATGGCTGCGTGGGGGAAACCCACCGCAACACATACAAAAAGCGGCGAAACGTGTCAGTTAGTAGCTTGCCACGCGCAGAGAAGGAAGACGAAACTCGGACGAAAAATCAGGTTGAGTTGTATAACTTTGCCCGCGCCCGCGTTATTCTCACGGCACTTTATATACCTGCCGAAATCAAACCATATAGACCAGTCAGCGCTGATTGGTCTAACGGTCTCCATATTTCGGCTGCTGTAAACACCCTGCTGACGGAGGCATCTGGGGTGGCGTGGGTCTGTTCCTTCATGGAAGGCATTCTTGCAGCAAAGCGATGCCGCACCGACGAAAGGCGTGTGTGAGGAGGCAGCGAGCTAGATATGGCAACTTGGCACGGGGAGAGCACGAATCATGTTTCTAGGCTATCCTCGCTAAGGTGGTTCGCGACGCACGAGCATGTCAATATCGACCGGGTATTGACTAAATAGCAACGGAACATGAAAGGGACTGAGCATTGCCAGCAACAGCTTCAGGGTGTCAACGATCGTGTGCTTTCCAACGCGGTTGCTTAGGTCACCAAAGCTTATTATCGTTATTTTCTTCAACAACCACCGCACAGATGATGCGGTGGTGCGCCCGCCGCTGTAGCGGTTTGCATACCTCCGGTGTAGGTGATGAGATTTGGCCGGACCCCGTTTTCCTGCATTTCTTTCAGCAGGCCGAGAGCCTCTTCCCACCGGCCTTCGGCACCGCAAGCCTTGATGGCAGAGCTATGTATCCCGCAAAGACGAATTCCGAGTGTTTGTTTGCAGGGTCAGGAGCGGGGTTGGCCGTGAACAGAAGGGTACACAAAGAAACGTGTTGCACACGATAGTCCGACCTCCGTTAGCAGGCCTTTCGGACATCGTGTTTAACCACCCGACCTACATAGATGTGTGGATGCACCGGTGACCGAAAAGTCAAATTCACGGTATGCCTGCTCCTGCCATGTCACGTCAGCTGAAGGCCCCCGCAAGCGGGGAGCCTCAACGTCATGTGTGAAAATGCCGCTGCCGGTGACGTCATCTTCATCTTCTGGTTGCGAGTTTTTGCTTCGCGCCCCTATCCTGCATGTGTTCGTTGGGCTTGTCCATTTGTGCGTTGTGCTTGTGTGCATAACTTGAGTCTATCTGCATGGTTATATACCCGTGAATGTGCCTTGCATCTGAAATTGAGTTGTGTTTTTGCTTGTGGCCATCCCATTGGTTGGATTTTTAACGCCTGTTGTACCTTTACGCTTGGCGCTGTACCTGTATGCAACGACATCGGGACGTAATTTGGATCTCCGCATGTCCGCGAGCAGGGCGACAGCTTTCTCCCACTGGCCCGCCATGGCACACGCGCTGACCGCCGTCCCGTACGCTATCTGATCCGGCTTGATCCCCGCCGCCTGCATTTCCTGCGGCACGACATGACGGTGTATGTTTAAAAGCAGGGGTGGGGCATGAAACAACAGGGAGCGCGTTAATATCTAGCGTTCTGCCGTTATAGCAGAGGCCCCTCGATGGCTCGAGAGTTCGAAGCCCTCACATGGCTTTGAACCGACAAAACCTTCGCAACTCTGTCAGTGCAAGGTTACTTACCATAATCCGGAGACCGCATCGACACAAATCGGACACCACTTCCGAAACCACCCCCCCAAACTACAGCAGATTCCATGCTATCGCACCAAGAGAGTCTAATGGCGAGGATAAAAAAGCTGACGGTGGAAACCCAGCCCCAAACTCTGAATTAGGTATCCTGGACTCTGTATCTGTGGATGAAGAGTATATTGTCTTGTTTTCGTATAATATATATATAATATATATATATTTATATGCAAGTGTCTATTCTTCCCAACATCGGCCCGTGGAAGGCAGACAACTACGATGAGGTAAAAACGACGCCTAGCATGGTCATAACTCTCTTCACCTCCATCAGCGCTAGCGCCTGCCGCCACTCCCCTCCGTCCCGGCAAGCGGCCACCGCCGCGCTGAACGTCACCACATCCACCCCCCGCCGCTGCCCCGGGGACGATACCCTCTGGGCGTCCCGCAACAGAAATACGGCGTCCTCCCACGCCCCCTGTCTCCCGCAGAGGCTGATGGCCTAAAACAGGCAGTGTTGCAGGGACATGCGAAGACAGAGGGGAATGGTCGTGCTGCCTTACGAAAGCGGAAACCAGGGTGGACAACATTGCAGGGACATGAGAAGATAGAGGGGAATGAACGTGCCATCGGCGGAAACCAGGGTTGAGCACAATGCAGGGACACGTGCAAAAGAGAAAAAAAGATACGAGCTGGCTGCTATAAGAACGTGGGCACAGGGGGTGAGCGCGGTGCACAGTGGCAGCTGCTTGACATGATCCTATGCTGACAATCAGCGAGAGAAAGACGGGTCACTACCCGAATGGGGTCGGAAGAACCACTCGTTAGCGTACGTACACACGGCCGTTACCGGCGAATACGCCACATCGCCTGGATGGAGGAATAACACGGTGTCCGTTTCAGGCCCAAACAGCCAACAGAGTCGCTTGCCGCGACGTTCCTCGAGGGTAGGAGACAAGAAAGGACCCGACACGTTAGAGTTTCGGGACCTCAGTATCTACCCGCGTGGCCTCGGGGGAGGGAGAGCACATTGCTTCTGTTAGGTTCGGGTTGTTGAACCTGGTGTGAAGACAGCGGACAACGGGAACACCCTAACCTTGGTGACCTAGAAATCTCTCATCGCCTGTCCTGATAGTGACAATCTTGGAACCTGATCTGTTTGAAAGCGAGGACCAAGCACACGATTGACCCTGATAGTACCCTAACCACACCGGAGGAAAGCCTCGCTCCTGTGCCACACAGAGCGTGGCATGTCTGCGTGCGAACTTTAGTTTCTGGGGAAGTTGTTCAACAGCGGTCGTGATACCCGCTGTCTCTCGGTCCCTCACCTTGTTGTACAACGAGATATTGGGCACGAATCCGTCCGCACGCATGGCCGCAATCGTCGCAAGAACGGGCCGGGCTTTGCCGCCGTCTAGAGCCGCACGGATTGCCGCGGTGTGCACCCTGACCACCGTTCGCAGCAGAAGAGCACAACGACAGGGCGCGCGCAGCCACAGTGGGTGATGGCGACGGCATCACGCTTAACGGTCGTGGAATAGCCGTACCAAGAACACGGTCGAGAACATAAACGCCACGGAAAAATTCTCTCTAATACCACGACGACACCGGCATTCTCCTACCTTACTATATATATATATATATTCCCCGTTGTGCTTCCGTTCCGCGTCAGATGATTGCCGCCCTACTGTCTAGAACAAGCTACCTCTGGTATTGCTCAACATCTGTCGTTGCCCGGACCCCCCCATCCCGGGTTGGCGTAGGTTGGTATAGACGCTTCAAATTCGCCACTTGAATCACTGCGTGAAACCCTCAAACCAAGTTACCGGGGATTTTTTTGCGTACATAACGTGATTTTTTTCGTTTTTGGCAACCATGAATGATGACCGAGTTTGGTCATTTCGAGGGGGGGGGAGAACGCTGTAACACGCAGAATACGCGGAAAATCGCATCGCGTACTGTGAAAGCTGTCAAACACCATGAAGTACCTGATACGCTCATGGCGGTCTCTGGACGTGGCGAAACAGGACAAGAAATCGATCATTCGAGCGCTGCCATCCATGTGGAAGGTAACGGGGCACGCCACCATGCGAAACGACGTCAGTAGGAGCTCAACCTTCTAGAATGCGACTCGCTGTATGCCTCATGGCTCTTCGCGCTAGGTTCAGAGCTTTTCATCCAGGCCAAGTGAATACCAGGCGTGCCCTTTCCCGACCTCGTGGAAATGGGCAATTCTATGGCCCTACATTCCATAGCAATCGCGAGTACCCCCTCCTACTTCTCCTCATCCCCGACCCCCCCCCCGTACTTCGCTTGGACCAAGAAACACTTCGTCTACGATATGCATGATCATGAGCACCCCTCCTCCTCCCCTGCCTCGCTTGGACCAACCAACGGCTCACCTGCCATCGAGCTTCAACCCTGATGACCTGACCTCGGCAACATGAGCCAGCGCTTCCTCCCAAGACCCGCTCGCCGCAGACGCCTTAACCCTATCTACAAGCGCCCGCGATTCTCTGCTACTGCTGCTTCTGCCGCCGCTGATACCGCGCCCGCCACGGCCAGTTCGACCTCCACCCTCGCCCTTCCCTCTGCCCACGCCCATCGCCCCCGACCCTTCCCGTTCCCTACGACCAGCCCCTCGCCCCGGTCCTTTCGTGGAAGCGCTGCCGCCGGCGCTCGTAGCATGTTGCGTACCGGGACTGCTACTTGTTGTGGTAATTCGGCGGCGGCGCTTGCTGTCCTGGCGCGCTGGTGCTGCTACCGTGGCTACGGGTGCCGACGCCGCGTGGGTGTCCCTCTCGCCGGAAGGCGGCGTCGAGACTGTGCTCGAATACGCATCTGCAAAATAGTAGAAGCGGCAGCGGCGGCGGCGGCGACATTGGAAGCAGTTATGCTGACATCAGCAGGCCAAATAAATCACTGCGGAGGGTGGTCAGAGGTAGTCAGCGCGTACACAACTGTACACGAAAGTCCCTCGCCTCCACGCCAACTTGTTTTGGAATGGAAGTGTACAGGTTTCACCTCGGTTCAGCTCGACGCAATCTCCGGCAAACCCCACCCAAAAGATCACCGCATTAGCGAGGGCGTTCACAGGGTCTCAGTGCATGCCGTTTTTATGGATATGGATCGCCATCCAGGAAGTTGATACGCATGTAACGAATCACGCGGATCACAGCGGCATTTGAGTTCGAGAATTGCTGCGAACTAGGCCCCCCAGTGAACTCGTTTGTGATGTTAGAGCGTCGAGTGTTTGTGCCTTCTCTGTCAATGTCTGAATAGTTGAACACTTAGGCAAGTTACAAGCTGTAGGTTCCAAATTTACGTCTTACTCTTTAGTCAGGTACTGTCGGTAGATTCCGGTTCGGCGATGGATAGCGTATTCTACGAGGGGCGCTGAAGCACGTTGTTCGCCTATGCATACGTTTCTCATAAAAATCTATGACGTCGGGGTTGGGGCGGGAAACACGACGGTGGTGTCGGCAGCAATAAGTGTACAAGTGTTTCTATTTCCTTCGCTCCACATAGGTTTCGGAGTTGGTCAACAGGGCGCGATGGCTTGGACCGCCCTGTGTCGCGCGGGCTTGTGACCTACGGACGGACCTCATGAGGAACCACGATAATTCCACGCGTATACGCGACCCAGTTTAAACAAAATCGACCCCCCATAACATTCGCCCCACTCCCTACGCCCGCAGCGCGGGAGCTACTGCTGTACCCAGCGCTCCGTGGCCGGCAATCGCGCAACAACGGTCCGATGTCATGGTTGAACGCTCGCCCGACACTGCTGTTTGAGACCACGCCGACAGGGTGCATGGTCACCTTTCACGCCGAACACCATCGCATCGTCGTCGTCATCACTATCCAAGCCAGCATCCAGCTGCCGGAACACGGCCGCTGCCGCTACTGCCGCTGCTGCCGCTGCTGTTGCAGCATCGTCCGGCTCCTCAGCAGGTGCGGCGGAACCTCTCGCAGCCTGCGGTGACATGCGACGTCGCCTCCTCGACGGCGCTATCCTTTGCCTCCTTCTTGGCGAACACTGGGGCAGCCATTGCAGATGTTGGGGCAGCCATTGCACATGTCTTTGTGCGGTCTCAGCGCTGCTGCCAGTGGTAGACACAAAGGATGCGAAGGAGCATGGGCGACGCATCTCCCTGTTGAAGGTATAATGCATAATGTTGAGTGGTTTGTGGGGGGTGAAGTGCGGGGCGATTCGCGGGGTTTCCGCCCGTTTGTTTTAGGGCGGGGGTTCGTTGTTGCCGAACCGACACATAGGTGTGATCCCAGAGCCCAGAGCGCTTGCGTGCGTGTCACGAACCACGCCATTTTGTCGTCCACAGATGACAGATGAGTGATACATGCTCGTTGCGTTTGGCCATTATGATGTTGCCATGGTGAGGAATCGGATCATGATCATTCTTGAATCCTCATCCGCAGCAAGGGCTCTGCCTCTCGCTCTCAAGGAGGGATCCTGTAGGCCTGTAGGATCCTCTACATACTACTGTGCTGGGTGGAATCTGTGATATTTCGCCAACAGAGGACCAACAAGCACCAGAAGGGTTAACCTCATTGTAAGTCTCATCTGTATTGCCTTAGCCGGAACCTTTTGTCTACCAATAGTCGGAGCAAACGGTTCCTCGCCGCTTGCGGGTCGCGCCCAAAGCGCTCACCTGGATGTATGTACTGCTGTATGTGCTGCTGCTGTACCACACTCTCGAAGTACATGTAGTCTACAATTGTACCTCCCGTGTTGGCTGGGCAAAGACTTCGCCGCCCAGGCCAGGGTATTCTCTGCGTATGTGTACAAAAACAACTCATTTGAAAGTTGAAATATGAACACTGCTGTGGGAGGAACTACAAAATCCAGAGTGCAACGGGAGGGATAAGTTGAGCAGGAGGGACAAACAGTCAGAGGGAAAGCGGGGCACGGACGGGAGTAGATTCGGAGGTAGTGAGATGAGAAGCAATCGCGACGGGAGGAGAAAATGTGAGATGCGATGGGATAATAAGCCGGAAAAAATAAAAAATGGCAGAAAAGTGGAGTAGATAAAAACGATGGGGATGGGGATGGGGATGGGCAGGTCGGCGGCGAGAAGAGACCATATTGCTTCTCGTCCCGCGTCCCTTATCAAGTACCAGTCTCTCATGCAGATCCTTGGGTTTGTCGACGAAAGGCCTGCTTGTTAGACTGCAAAGGACTAAGAACATATTTCCTGAGCAAAGTGTTGTTGGTGTATCTATTCAGAGCAACGTGTTGCTGGTATCTGCACAGCACCACGTACAGTGTTCGTCCCATGGCTTGGTCGGGTTCAAAAATAAATTGATGTGCCCTTCTCGCGACAAAAATATCTCAGGCAGGCACCGCAGGAGGTAAGTGGGGACAAAAGAAGATAAAGAAGAAAAAAAAACGGCGTGGGTACCCCCTCCTGTGTGACCCCGGACGGTGCGTCTTGCTAGTTGTAGTGTACCAAGTACGCTGAGAAAGTGAAAGTGCACATAATACGCGGTAAACGTGTACATGTAGTGTGCACCGAAGAGGAGTAAGCAGGCGGCGCCAGAGATGGGACGAAAAAAAAATGAGTTGCATACGCGCAGGGCTCCGGTCCCGCTTCCTGGGCTTCGATATCGGCGCACCATTCTGCCTTCGCTGGTGGGTGAGGACAGGACTACGACTACATAGTAGCGGTCAACGGCATATATTTAGGAAATGAATACGAAATGCATAGTCTACACATATGTTGTTGATGAGAGGTAGTCACGTTCTTTCACCACGCGTGTGGACCTTCTCCGGCCGACCTACTCCGCACAAAGACCTTCACAAGTCCTCAAATCACTGCTGCTTGTTTCTTGGCGTGACCGAGTACAAGATGCATGCGCGGGATACCACAACGTACGCTGGGGATGTTCGATTGTGTGCCGACGTTGCTCTCACATTTTCGATTGACAATTGTGTGGCCCATCCTTTCTATGCACTATATAACACTTGCTCAAGAGCGATTCGCACCCGATCGTTGTGTACAAACACTTGTTGGCAAGCTATTGTACACGGACACCCGTTCGCATCGAAACCTCTTTACCTCTACAAGTTGTAGAGGCCTATGTAGTCTACGATAACGTAGATTCGATGGCTACTACACGGCGACACAGACCCGCACCTCTTACGTTGCCAAGCAAGGGCCGACAAACCAGGAACACAGCAAGCCGCAACGTCGCGCTACAAACTGCGTGTACACATCTTTTCCCTGTCGAGGTATACCAGAGCGAGAAATAACCACCCCTGCGAGCGAAACAACCGTGCTTGGCAGTCCACTGTAGGTTCGGTGGCTTTCCTCAAGCCTTGATGTTCAGAACGTTGACAACGTCCTTCGCTATCTCCTCATTTGCGGCAAGTACAACCTGCACAATCAAGACAGCACGTATCCAGTTTTTCCGAGCAGCGAGCGAAATTAACTTGAGTAGGGTGGATCATTGGTTGATGACCGAGCGCATCCCAGCGATGTTGGGCATGGAAACATTAATTCGCAGCGGCAGGAGGGCAACACAGCCAAGCCGCCTTCACAAGAGGGTTCTAGGGGCTGTGTCATAGGTCTTTGAACATCCTTTGGGCTTTCTCTCTAGCCGTGAGGCTTAAGCTTCTCCTGTTTTTTTTCGGAGTCTCGGATCGTGTTCTAATTCCGGACGCGGCATGAGGACCGCGGGCGCATGGGTCGTATGTTGGCGATGTTCGTTGAATACTACATGTATGTATCACGTCGTATTTGCCTGGGAACGCTGGTAATCCCGAAATATAACTCCACGAATTCAGAAGATAGTCGAGGTTCTTCATATTGGTTTTCAGGAGGATAATTGTTGAAGGAACCGCACTGAAATGACATCAACAATGGGAAGCTACAACCAGAGGTGACCTGCCACATGTCCCACCATATCCCCTGGGGAGACGCCCATAAAAAGAATAGCAGTTTCCACGACTGGCACAATCAAGTCGATGACGACGCCAACAACTACGACAATGACGACGGCAACAATAACATCATCAGACGAGGGAGGTGTGTTCGAAAGTTCGAACCGTCACCGCGGTGACAAGTCACCGGGCCGGGGGGGGGGCGGCATCAGGTGGGGGAATTGTGGAAAATATCTCTCATTTGCTTTGACACCTCAGGGCGGAAATTCGCCACGGGCACGGCTCTTTCAGAAGGCAGCATCGATCAGCACTTAACGATTTCATTCCCATCACGTCCGCAGTGGGCGCGTGCGATGCAACGTCATAATAGGCTTAATGGCGACTGGAGCAAACAATGCTTTCAGTGCGAATGAAATATCTCACGTGTGTCAACGTTTCGGAAAACTTGCGGGAAAGAGGTGGGGCTCCAAAGGAGGGTCATCCGTGTTTCGTGTACAATCTATCCACGTGGTGGGCAGCAAGGAGTATCGTTGCTGTCAACAACGATCATATGCATACCTCCATGTGAAGCTTATCCCATTTCAACGGGTTCCCTTGTAGATCACAAGCGAAGCCGCCAGCCTTCGGGCGAACGGACAAACATCGCGGCACATGCAAGCGGAAGGGGTGTGTCGGACAATGGTGGGCTGGGGATGCGTGGGTTG